TCCCCTCCCAGAAATAGTAGAGAAATGAAAGGATGAGCCACTCTGAGCTGGCACAAAACGGGGTTTTGGCAGCACCTGAGAGGGTCATTTCATCTATTTGCACTTTAGGAGGCGAAAGATGGGTGATACAGGAGAGGGGAAGAATGTAAATGGAAATGGGTAAAATTGAGGGGAGAAAAGTATGAAAAAGAAAAAAAAGTTGAAAAGAAAATGTACCTGAGATTGTCTCAGAGAAGGGATCTCGGAACTCGGAGTGATATATTTTCCAGCACAAGATTTACTTTATGTTCCCGGGTGCTTTATCCATTGCTCGCACCATTTACGCTGCACTTTTTCTGTTCAACCACTTTTTCAACCCCATTGTGATTCCTCCCAACGCTGAGCTCTGCTTGTTCCTGTTCTTTGTTGCTGTTGTTTGTGGTCCAAGAATGACATAGTTGCAGACAGAGGAATCCATTCCCAAACTATGATTGAAGTAGATTCTGATTCCCAATGACATGTCCTATTGTCCAGCCTGTCAGGATCTGCCCCAGTGTTTAGTTGTCAACAGTAAATGCCAAATCACTCAGAGCTGAGAGATAACATTTTGAAGGATCTGCTGTTTCCCAAACAGTTACAGAATTCTCAAGCTGCTCCATTTTCTGAAGATCAACCTGAAAAGAAAATACTTTTTAATAAACCACTGTATTCCAAGCCTTGCCAGCTACCAAGGCAAAGCAATTGCAGTACATTCAAATGTTACTGAGGAGATTCTGGATTGGTCAAATCAAATCAAAGAGAATTAGAATGTGAATATTACAGTAAAATTTAGCCCAATGTTATAAACCTCTTCAGTGTTCCGAGAGAGTACCCAGTGTGATAAAAATGCAAGTTGTTGTTGTATTGTATTGTTGTATTGTTAATGTTTGTGTTTTGAATGACACATGATACCAAGGTTTCGTCTGCCTGTTCAAGTGGATGTTAAAGAGCCTATGGCACTATTCAAAAAGAAAAGGAAAGTTTCTCCCTTTATCCTGGTCGATGAAAGAAATGGTCATTCTCTTCATGGCTGTTTGTGGCCAGCAATACTCCACAAACAGACTGTTAAGCCTTTGCCCCGAAATACACTGTTATGCCACTTTACGGAAAAATTCTTTAAAGTGCTTTGTAAGATTTTGATATGATAAGGTGCTATATCAAACGCAAGGATTATGATGTACACTGTGCTTTCCCTGCAGTATTCTGCATCAAGTGAGATACAATCAAAAGCAAATGTTTTATTTCTGTTTGGCAGCGTGAATGATTGAATGGCCTCAACACTGCATATTCTGAGCACATCCTATAACAATTGCTACTGAATCTGTTTGTGTTGAGATGGGTGGGAAGGGATTCTTGCTAGATTTCTTTCCACTTATTATCTTAGGGAGACACTTGGCTTTTTTCACCCTGGGAGGTGTACATTTGATGCACTAAATAATGAATGTATTGCTAAATTGACCCCATTAGTTGTGCCTTTGGGCTAGAGAAAGGTGAGGTGCTGAATGATGCAAGGTGCAAGGTCTTTTACCTTCCTCTCCCAACACCCCACATCCATTAGTTATGTGTAAGTCTTGACAGTAAGAAAAACAAATTATTCAACTGCAGTGGAATTCATATCTGAGCTGTATCTCTCGGTGCGTGTTTGGCAGGAGGGATTGCATTGGGAGGAGGAGAGGGTCTTCAGGAGAAGCCTGATTTTTCTTAGACCAGAGATTGAGCAAGTGATGCTCCCGCTCAAAGCTACCAGCTAGATAAGATACCTCAGTCATCAGGGTGCTGATGGTGTGTTGATAAGTGTGTTGACTTATCCAACCAGCTGTTGAATTGCTTAAAATACGTAGGACTGAGGAAATCTGTCAGCCCTAAACAATAGGTGAAAAAGAATGGAAATACTATCAAAAATATGTAGTAGTTTGATCCATGGGTGCCTTCTGTTCACATTTGTTTAGTGTTCATTTTGCACCATGTTAGAAATGACACATTTATTCAGCAGCTCGGGGATAAAACTGTAAGTAGCCTTCGGTGTTGAAAGGCTAGTATGGTGGCCAATGTGTTGGTATTCAACTGTGCTGTGGAGCAGAGCAGTAAGACATGGTAGTCCTCTTCGCATACTTTCAGCTGGGCTCCTGAAGGGAAATTGCTGTTCTGATGTCAATTATTTCCTTTTGTTTCTAACACTGACAGTAATGATTGCTACCAGCTCAGACAGGCCAATGTGATGGGGTAGGGAGAAGAAGGCTAAAGTAAAACTTCTCTCTCATGGATTATTTTAGTTTTCTTATTTTGTTGTGCTGAGGAAGAGCTCCTTTTTGATTGTGAAATAGTGAATGGGGTCAGGAGACATTGAAATGGAAGAGAAACACAAGGGCCCTTTCTGCAAAGCATGTGCTCTTCCAGTCCCAGAACCGTCGATACAGTCTTGAAACTGAGACTTTCACTGCAGTCTGACAGTGGTATGTGGACTGCATTCTGAAACGTTGCTAGCTGTGGAACTCAGGCTGTTCAGATATAAAAGTATCATCACAATTTAATGCCTTAAAAATGTAAATACCACAACATAATTCTCAGCAAATAACACAAGTCTGATGTATTTTTAACCAGGCTCTTTTTTATAAGTAAAGCAAACACAGCAAAGAAAGAACAGCAATACATCAAATGCCTTAATGAACAAATGGTAGAATTGTTATCTGCTGAGAGCTTAATCGTCCTAAGGAGAGCTGGTTCATTGAGGTTTATTCTGGTTGTGAGTATGCATTTTGGTAATTGGTGCAGTTTCTGCGTTGAAGCCATTGCGTGGATTAGTTTGATTTCTAGAAGGCTTAATTCTATTGACTTGTCTCCTATCATTAGTTCCTCTTGTGTTGCTCGACTGCCTGTTTACCCTGGTTGCCATGTTAGCAAGCAAAGCTCTGCTGACCTTTTGCTCCAAATATGAGGCTGGGTCAAGATCCGTTCAGGCTTTGTGATATCTCCTGGGTAAGATCTTTTACTAATTGAGTGAAACATGTAATCTTTGGCAGCAAATACGATACTCATGCAGATATTGTATACAGTATATATATATGTAACGTTTTAAATAAATAATAGTGTATACAATAATGAGGCAGGTAGGTCCATATGCAGGGCCTGTGCTGATGGTTGGAATCTTTCTGTAATGTCTGTAAAGACTGCACTGTGTTGAGAGCTCACAGTGACATCTTACCCAGCTTTTACTGATATTCCACTGCAATTCCAAACTGTCTGGGGCCGATCAAGTGATTTGTTCAATTTAACAATCTTGTCAATCATAAGTACTTTTTTCAAGATGAGTTCTCGCTGGTAATGCGCAGTAGTTTGTTTGACAGGGGGGACTTGATAGATGTTTGTAAGATATTAAATTAGAAAAGGAAAGTAAATCTGGAACAATACTTCCCAGGCAGAAAATGAAATGCCAAGACAGACGAATATGACGACACAGATTCAGGGTTGTAAAGAGTAATTTTAAGACATACACCAGAAGGTTTTTCTTTACACAGAATAATTGTGGAGACCTATAGCTTAGCAGTTAGAGCACTCGCCTCCCGTGCGAGAGGGCCTGGGTTAGAAGCCCAGATAGGGTGAATCGTTGGGTAACTTTCCTTACTCCATACTTTTTGTTTACTTAGCAGTAAGTAGGAACCTGGTTGTTAGTTAATTAGTGGATTGTTTTTCCGGGGTTGTTAGTGCCTCAAAAATAATTTGGTCACTCAATCCAGGCTGTTTGTTTATCAAATGCAATGATTATTATTATAATTATTAATAGTTGAAAAGGGTTATCAGATGGAATGGTAGAGGCCACAGCAGTGGACTCATTTAAATTATATTGAATAAAAGAAGAATCTCCTGCACTTTATGCAAAGAGGAGATATAGATACTAAAATAGGACTTTTTTGTTATTTGTAATCTAAATTATAGGTGTATTAGTGCATAAATGGAGAGTTTGCTGGGAAAGCTAACTTTTGGAGCAGCTGCTGAATCTGCTGCAGGGCTAATCATTTTTAATCATCATTCTTATTAAACTAACACGAAAATAATACTTTGAGTTCCACTAATGGCTAAATTGGTACGTTTGTTGCCCAGCATGAAACTGTGCCATATTGTCCAAGGGGGTCTCAGGTTTGAGCCCTGGCTTGTGCTTGATGAACAAATCTCAGCCAAGACCTCCGAAGAGATATTAAAATTGAACTCGCCATAAAGCAAGGTTCACACTAGCGTCTCTGATCGCTGCTTCTGGAGCCCTTCCAAATCCATCTTTTGGATTTGATGCTAAACCAAGATCCTGTCTGCCTGTATAGGTGACCAAGATCCTATGGCACTACTGGGAAAGAGAAGAGAAGTTCTCCCGATGTGCTGGCCAACAGTCTCGCAAATAAAATTGGTTATTCACTTCATGATTGTTTGTGGGACATTGTTGGGCACAAATTGTCTGCTGAGTTTGCCCACAAAATACAGATACTACACTTTACAGTATATCCTGTGAAGTGCTTTGAGACGTCTCGATGACGTGATAAAGCACTATATCAAATGAAAGAGGTTATTATTATTGTTGTTATTATTACTAATAATGTTACTCCATTCCATATTTTCCATATGCATCAGTTTACAATTTTTCTTTTGATAAATATCATATTGCATTCCCCCTCCCCCCTTTTTGTAATGAAAGCCTCCACTGAATACTGAGCCTATATATATTTTATTGCTGATAAATCCATAGTTTAACAGAGGGTAATCCAACCTTTTGGCTGCTGAGGGCTACATGCCCTATGTCTGTGGGCCGCAGAAGCAATATTTTTGTGTTTCCCTTCCAGAAACATAACATAACATTTATGGGTTATGGAGGGAGCGGGTGGGTCAGATGAAATGGAAGGGAGTTGGGGGGCGGATGAAATCGCCCCGTGGACCCCCTGTTGGATCACCCTGAAGATGTTCTTAAAGGCCTAATAAAGCATATTTCCTTTTCACAGCTTGTGGCCGGGGATTCTACAAGTCATGGTCGCAGGATCTTCAGTGCGCTCGCTGTCCAGCTCACAGTCACACAGAACGGGAAGGCTCTTCACGTTGTGAGTGTGAAGACGGCTACTACAGAGCTTTCACTGACCGTCCCTCAGTACCTTGCACAAGTAAGTTCCTTATTAGTTCAGTGAAGTCAATGTCTGACGTTTTCAAACATACAGTGTAGCTTTTACTCTTTTGTGGAGCTGAATAGTTTGGATTGACTGGTTTTCCAGATATTATTCCACTGTTAATATTTGAGAAGGGCTCTGAGAATCTCTTGATTGAAGAATTCATATGAAATATTATAGAATTATAATTAAAATGCAAAAATCTAGATCTCTTTAGATTTGGTGAAGAAATCGAATTGGAATATAAGAGGTAGAGGCATGTTGGATGATTCATTGTTTTTCTCTGGCCCAGGTGGACAGCAATAGACATTTTTAGGCTGTGTATTTGTGTGTTCATTTGCCTCTTAACCTTTATCTTACTAGCATTGGCTTTCAGAATCCTTTGAATGAGGCATTAGACTAAGGTCCTACCTGTTATTCAGATAGATGTTAAAAACCCAGTGGCACTATTTGTAAAAGAGAAAGGAGTTTCTCCTGATGTCTTGGCCAACAGTCCTCCAGATAAATTGGTCATTAATTTCATGGCTGTATCTAGGACCTTGCTGTACAAAATTGCTGCTGTTTTTGCTTACAAAGACAGTCACTGTATTTAACAGTGATACTGGTAAAGCTTTGTGAGACACCTTGATGGGATAAGCATTATATCAATGGAAGTTCTTTCTTCTTTGTGTCCGTTGTCCTACTCTCAAGAAAATTTGTTTTCTTATTCTCAAGGACCTCCTTCTGCACCACAAAACCTAATTTATAACATAAACCAGACGACGGTGAGCCTCGAGTGGAGCCCACCGGCGGACAATGGGGGTCGGGATGACGTTACCTACAGAATCAATTGTAAGAGGTGCAGCTGGGAGCAGGGTGAGTGCATGCCCTGTGGCAACAGCATCAGCTTCATACCCCAGCAGTCAGGACTGGTGGAGACCTATGTGACAGTCACAGACCTGCTGGCCCACGCCAACTACACCTTTGAGGTGGAGGCTGTGAACGGAGTTTCAGACCTGAGCCGGACCCAGAGGCTTTTTGCTGCCGTCACCATTACTACAAGTCAGGCAGGTAAGATGCTGAATCAACAGGAATCAAAAGTTAATTGATGCACAGCACAATGCAACAAACTGAATGCGTAGTGATTATTTCTTGACCAAACACATGTTTAGGCATATACCTCGCTCAGCGTATCTACAGATAATTGTCTGTCTCTGTCGCATCTCTTCCAGCTTCAGATCCTCTCAATTTTGACTGTGTGCCAATAATTGAGCCTTTGCAATTCACTTAAAAGAGCTTTATGTCTACCCCGTTTCCTAACTCTACATGTTTACTTGTAAGTTAGATTTAATTTATCTACATTTGCAAATGTATCTTTTCAACCTATTCTCAGCAATGGTTCACTCTACCTAACCTCCATTTTGTTTTCAACTACCATTCCTGCTCACTCCCTCATCTGAAATTTATTTTGTGACTGTCCTACTGCTGTCTTTGTGCCACTTTCCCCACCTTTGATTGATCGGCCTATGGATTCCAGCTTTGCTTTCCTCTATGAACAGTGACCTTGTGAATCATTACAGAGTTTAGACATTCAAAACTTATAGTTGATATATGGACATTGTTGAGATTTCTTTCTATTTTTGCTGTGGAGCAGTGTTTCTTACTCTTTTTGATATCGGGGATTTCACAGTTTCTTCTTGAAATAATAACAATCCTTGCATTTGACATGTTGCTTTTCTTGTTGTGAGGACAATAACTTGCATTTATTATCAGTTGTGTGACACTGCATTTCGCCCACAAAATATACAGTCAATTCATTTTACAATATATTCTGTGAAGCGCTTTGAGACGTCTCAAAGATGTGTGAGAAGGCCCTATATCAAATGCAATGATTATTATTTATATAGCACCCTTCACATAGGATAACGCCTCAGTGAATTTTATGAGGGGCTGAGCAGGGGAGAGGGGTGGGGGGGGCGTAGACGCAGATAGATTTTAAGGTGGGATTTGAAGATCAATAGAGAGGGGGTAAGTGAGATGGATAGAAGGAGGGACGTCCAGCGATTGTGGGACTGGAATTGCTCCTGCAGGGTGGACACAGGCAGCAAGCCCTAGTTGGCCAATTGGAAGGGAACAAGCAGGGGAGTGGGGTAAGAAGAAATCAGAGAGATACGGTGGTGCTAGGTTGTGAAGCAATTTATAGATGAGAGTGAGAGCCTCTCAAAGCACTTCACAGGATTTGCTATAAAATGTAGTGGCTTTGTATTTTATAAGAGAAAACATCTGGTGAACTATTAGTAAATGAGCCAGACAGGTCACTCAGTCAAAGCATATCTCTGTTGTGAACCGGCAGTGGGGTTATTATGGACCAGTAATTGGTACTTGTACTTTTTTAGTGCCTTCCTGGTTAAAAAAATGGTTGAGTGCAGTTGCACTACAGTGACTCAAATTACACTCTGTTAGGTATACCTGGCATATACAGTCAGGAGTGCAGCTGCTGAGAATGTCTCTTAAGAGCAGAAGGATTCTAAAGTAAAGCTGCTATTAGTAAAACAAATAGAACTCAGTCCAATTCTTACTATTCATTCTTACTATAACTGGTCCAAAAGACATTTGTCAACCTGTTCATTCAACAAAGGGGTGTAAATTTTGAGATTCGTGGAAAGATTGTTAACTAGTAACTCCGGAATTCTGAATGCAAATAATAGTACTGGTTAATAGTATAGGGCTGCAGAGTGGATGCACCCACATGAAACTTTGAACCAATTCCTTGCACCTTTTGGCTGAACAATTTTAACCTTGTCCATTCACGAATAGATAGAGTGACATGGAGCAGACTCATTTCAGTGAACTCCTCCTTCCCCAACCCTTCCTGGCAATGTTTTGTAATTGTCTATAAAGCCCATAAAACTCTGCTCACTCCCTGCCCTCACATTACTCTGCCCAACCTTGACAAGCAAAATGATGCCAGGAAACAACAGCTTTGTGATGCTGAAAAATGATACGATTTGAATTGATAATTCAGGCCTTTTATGACCTTCAAACGAGACTCTGGTTTGACTAGTCTAGGTGACTATATAAACCACCCAGAGCAAGGACTTGTGCCAGGAATTGTAAATAGATGATAAATAAGCATCAGCAATTTTTTTTGGTGTGTTGGCACTGGTTTGATTTGTGCTGCGGAATGTCAAATCCAAGGCCCTGGTCAATAAGGCCATGATAGAATGTGCACAGCCAAGGAAGCGGAGGGTTTTAACTAGCACGAGCTGATTCATTAAGTCGGCTCTGTGAAAATGTTTCTCGGCAGCCGAATGGAGATCAATTAACTGCAAAGTCCATGGGAAAAAAATTAGCAACCTTGCTGCACTCCATTTGCCGAGAGGTCAAGCACTGAGAGAGAGATAATTGCTGCAAGCAAGCAGAATGAATCGGGGATGAGCAGAAAGTGATGATGTATGTTCGATGACAAGATGTGTGACAGAGATTTACGCCTGAGCCTAGGACTGTTCAGCTTGGCAAGGACACAAGGACGAGAGAAGGAGACCTGTGAAAAACAATTAGCGCTTCTTCCGAGCTAGCAGTTTTTAATTAGCCATGGCATGTCAGCAACAGACAATTAGTGTCCTCAATTTTTTAAAATATTTAGCCATTAATTATAATGCAGCTGAGAGGGAGTTGACAGGAAATGCCCATTTTGGAGCCTCTCCTCATATAACACACAGTAGACAAGAGAAGAGGTTAAGAAGGGTACAAGATAGAGGCTTCAGTAATCCTTTATTGTCTTGTCATCGCGATATCGCACTCAAATCTATTAATTCATACAAACAGTGCCTCTCTTGGATTGATTCTACCCCATCTGCAACGTTAACATTGGTTTGTTGGTAAACTATTAGCTTCCATAGACCTGATAATTAGCGCCAAGGTCTATCATGTGTCAATTGCTATGTATAGAGATCTTTTTGTTCCTTTTTAATATGGAAAATCACAATATCAATGCATATTGAAACATTGCTATTTTCAGTGATTGATGTGTAATAGACTACAAATTTCCCCACCCCACACATGATAGGCCAAATGATCTGTTTTTGTGCAGCAATATTCTATGATTTTATTCAATTAGTCCAGAGGTAGGAATAGCTTTGTTTTGGTGGGGGTGGGGCGGGAGGGAGGGAGTTAACTGTTCTAAAGATAAGTAATCAATAAGAGCAGAAACAACACAGAAGGAATCTGCTGATGTTTTCTGATGTATGAGGCTGTGTCGAGCAATTACAAATGAGAGTAGACGGACAATATGAAATTAAGTCCATCAAAAATCTATGGAATACTTGTCAAAACTTTTGAAAATGTGGCATAAAGTTATTCTGAATGTACCATTTTGGACACAAATTCACCATTTGTCCAATTCAGGTTATTAGGAGTTTTTCTGATTGATCTTTTGTTTTTGATCAGCCTGGAGTCTGCATGTGGAAACCCACCACCATGCTTAAGAATATTCAAACACATTTCTACATGTGTATGCCACCTACACATGAAAATGTCCCTGTATCTGAAATGGAATGTACGCTCTCCCCAGAGAGACAAACCCTGTTTACTTAATTCTGGAGACATTAGGCACATGGTGGCAGGAACCAAGACTCGGGGACCTTAGAGTACTGCTAGAGTTCAACCAGCTAAAATTGCATAGTTGCGATTGGCAAGCTTTTCCACTGCTAGGACCCCTTACCCAGTAAGGCTTTGGCTTGCAGGGTTAACAGGAGGCAAATCAGAAGAATACTGCTCACAATGACTAGTCAGCCCCTCCAAGTCCTGCTGATAAGCCAGGCTGGCTAGTCTGCCATCAATGGGACTCCCCTGCAGTGCCATGGACCCATTTGTCTTAGGATCCGAACTTCCGATATTGCCACAGAGGACTGATTGAGAAGATGCTGACATTCCAATGCTAAGCATGCCACATTGAGCCAGCTCAGTTCCAAGGAGATGCCTCTTAGCTTTCCTCCAAGTTGGATATTGATCATTTTCCCTGATAAAACTGCTAAACTGCTAGAAGAAAACTGCTCCGTCTGGATCAAAATGACAGAAAAAGGCCACAAGGAAAAGGGCATTGGCTCGATTTGCATGGACGTGAGTCATGTCAGCTCATCTTTCTGTGCTTGTATCTAAATGATAAAATATTGCAGTGGACAGGCAGGATTACTCTTTCAACTGGGACAATCTACAATGGGTCGGTTTTGTGAGTTTAGCAAATTGTGTTCTGGAACTGGAAGGCCTATCTTCTGCAAAGTCAGATCCCTGCCACCAGGGAGGAGGTCCGTGCCAAGTGGGGTTCTGGAAAGGCTTCCTCCAACACTTTCAGATACTTGCAGAGGTCGTTAGGTACAAACATGTTTGAGACTCTCGCAAGTTAGACCTCAATATGGAATATTTTATAAGTTCAGATGCTAAATGAGATAACACGATTCATTCTTCAATCTAGATGTTGCTATTTGTAAATAATAATATAATTATTACATTTGATGTAGCGGCTTATCACATTATTGAAATATCTCAAAGCTCTTCACAGAATATACTCTAAAATGAATTGACTGTATATTTTCTGGGCGAAATTGATTGAGACTGATAAAAAGTATTTGTATCAATGCCATCTCAATCAGTACCTTTGTACATAAAACAGAATAGGAGAGGAACAAGATAAGTAACAAGGTTATGGTTACTCGACGCCAAGCTTGGATTTTAAAGCTTATAAAATTTAGGAGAAAAAGATGTCTGAGGGAAAGAAATGTCAGCATCAAGGAAAATATATATTTTAAGAGATCTTGTGATGAGTCAAGATCTCAAGACCGGTCTCAAGACCTTTCTCTTCGTTCATGCTTTTGGTCGCCCTCCCACCTCTCTGCCTTCCCTCACCCCTAAACCACCCCTTCCCCATGCTCAGGCCCAAACACCTGACTGTTCAACGCTTTGGGACGTCCTCCCGATGTGAAAGGCGCTCTATAAATGTAATTTTGTTGTTGTTGAGTCTTGACTTCAATACACTGAGAATGCAGAAGAGGAGCAAAGAGCATGTAATGTAC